ATTGTATAGTATGTAAGGATAGTTCTTCGCATCTTCGCACCCTGCCCATTAAATACCAGTAGCACCTCCCTAAACAATGAGATAACCTAAAGTGACCCTACAGATTTCTAAAATACTCTTATTAAAAATAGTTGGATTATACCCTTATCATTTTTGGTATGGACTGTTGCAGTGGTTTCCAGACTTGGCTCTGCATCAGAATCACCTGGAAAACTATTTCAACATACAGATTACTGGTCCCTATGACAGATATTTATTTTGTTAGCATTCTTGGTTCAGGGCCCAGGATTTCTAAGCTCCGTAAATCATTCTTACAGAACATTCCTAGCACTTATCTAGCATTTGAGAATCAATCATTGGATTATTGTAATAGCCTTCTAACTTGTTTTCCTGCCTCCCTTCTGACCTTTTAAAATCATTCTAAACAGTATCAGATAAATACATGTAAAATATACTTTTAATCATGTCCTCTTCTCCTTCAGGAATCCTTTCGTAGCTCTTTATATTTACTCTTGGCAGCCCCGGAAGAGTACCTTTCTAGAATACTAGGGTTTAGAGAGTAGTGTTTGCAAACCACAGTTTCTGCAGGATAAAGTCCAAAATCACTAAATTTGAATACTCAGCCTTTCAAGATTTGACAACCTTCCTTTCCAGCCTTATCTAGGCCCCTGAGCCTCAGCCATAGAAAACTGTTTATGGTTCCTGGTATGCACAACTTTCTTATGCTGTTTCCTGTGCTCAGAATATCTGCCCACCTCCACTGCGTGAACTTGTGAGCCCCTATTCAACTTTCGGAATTCAGTTCCAGCATCATCACAGTCTGTCTTAGTTATCTAGTGCTGCTTAACAGAAATACCACAAGTGGATAGCTTTAACAAAGAGAAATTTATTCTCTGACAGCCTAGGAGGCTAGAAGTCCAAATTCAGGGTGCCAGCTCCAGGGGAAGGCTTTTTCTCTCTGTCAGCTCTGGGAGAAGGTGCTTGTCATCAATCGTCCCCTGGTCTATGAGCTTTTCAGTGCAGGGACCCTGGGTCTAAAGGACGCACTCCCCTCCTGGTTCTTCATTCTTGGTGGCATGAGATCCCCTTCCTCTCTGCTCACTTCTGTCTCAACTATCTTAAAACAGATTGACTCAAGATACAACCTAATCCTGTAGATTGAGTCCTGCCTTATTAACATAACTGCGTCTACTTCTGCCTCATTAACATCATAGAGGTTAGGATTTACAACGCATAGAATAATCACATCAGATCACAAAATGGTGGACAACCACACAATACAGGGAATTGTGGCCTAGCCAAGTTGACATATATTTTGAGGGGACACAATTCAATCCATTACACAGTCCTTTCCCCTAAACCTCCCCAATCCCTGTGCTCTCATATTGTTCCCATAGTTTTGAAACTTGTCTATTTCCTTCCCTTTGTAAGGTCACTGAAGGCAGAGCTTTTGTCTTATATTCTTTTTTTTTTTGTAGCCCCAGATAATAATATAGTACCTGACTCATAGGTGCTTGGTAAGCATTTGATGAATGGAGTGGTTTGTTAGAAGGATGATGGGTTTATACTAGATAATCTCACAGTTTTTTTCTAGCTCTGATGTTGATAATCACAATTTCTTCTGTTACCAAAAGAAAGTATATATAATATCTATGTTTTAATTTTTTTAATACACTATATATGATTTAATCTAAAACAAGACTTGAATGTTTTTCATCTTGATGGCTCTGCAGATAAATTATATTGACAGAACATTAAGTATTATATTCATGTGATACTATTTCTCATTAATCTTTCAATTTGTGAGGAAAAGCAGGAGAAAGCCAGAATTTCCCCAAGTCTCCTTTATTGGTGATGGAGGATAATTTCTTTATAGGTTTTATTATACTGTTAACTAATGTTTTAGTAAAATTTTGTAACTTGTCAGAATAATTGGCTCCTTTTTTCTCCTGGTTTCTGTATACAGTGTACTTATGGTTATTCATTTAAGAAAGTATCAGTTGAATATTGATTATCCACAAAAAAAAGAGAAAACAAAAAATAAATCTTTAGCATAAAAATTAAATATTGAGAGAGGTGTTGGATGGGGGGATGGGAAGATATTTTAAGCAGGTGATGCTAGTATGGGGAAAGAATGAGCCAAAAATGGAAGGAGTAAAGTTGAGGGTACTTGTAATATACCAGAAAAAAGAAAACCAAACCAGTTGCTGTTGAGTCGATTCCAACTCGTAGTGACCCTATAGGACAGAGTAGAACTGCCCCATAGGGTTTCCAAGGAGCGGCTGGCTAGTGGATTCAAACTGCCGACATTTTGCTTAGCAGCTGAACGCTTAACCATTGTGCCACCAGGGCTCTGTGCCTAAGGACACAGAGCTGGTAAATAGAGCCATTGGGATTTGAACTCAGATGGCCTGGCTCTAAGGAGAGCTGTAATCTTTACAGGGACAGACTGCCACATCTTTTCCTGTGGAGTGGGCTGGTAGGTTCGAATCGCTGACCTTTTGGTTAGCAGCTGAGCTCTTAACTGCTGTACCACCAGGGCTCCTTTTTTAAGAACAAGCACTCCCAAAAGTGAAGGTAATATTCCATATTTAATGTTTCTATTTGCTTTAAAATATAGGCTTACTTTTTGTCATTTTTGATTTGAAGACAACTAACAACAACATGTTTCAAAGATGGTAATAGCCTTTAACCATAGCGTGACTGTATAGTTCAGTGGATAACGTGCAATCCGTTCTTCACTGGGTTACAAGTTGAATTTGTCCAGTGGTTAACCACAATTTCTGGGACATGGCACCATTGAGTTTTGCCTGTGAGTTGCAGCAGCTCTGCTTGAAACAAGCAGTTCTTTGGGGGTGTACCATGCTTTCTTCCTGGCTGGTGCAAATGGTTAACTGGTCTGGCTACTAATCTGAAAGTTGGTGGTTCAAACCTACCCAGCAGCACCACAGAAGAAAGTCCTAGTGATCTGCTTCCATAAAGATTACAGCCAGGAAAACCTTATAGAGCCCAGTTCTACTCTGTAACACATGGGAGTCACCATGAGTCAGAATCGACTCGATGCCATGTGTTTTGTTTTTGTATCCCTTTGGCTGTGTGTGTCTCCCATTATTCACTGTTGTATGATTTTAGTAAGTGTGATTTCATATTGGCTCACCAGCATTACTTTCTGAATCTGAATCTGAATCTGAAGTTTTTCTTAGTCTCTTTCCATTGTAGTCCCCACCCCCAAATTCTTTTCTTTTCGTGGAGACGTGGTAAGTAGAGGGGAGATGCAGCTTTCCTGAAGTGCTAGCAAATAATAGCATGTTATTTCTGATGTAGAATCTTTATACTATATATAATCTTTAAACTCTGCAGTCTAGAATTTACAGATCATCCATTCTCTACCAGCTCCTATTACTCCTCCACCTTTAGCCCTTTGTTTCAGCGAAGACCCAACTTTTCACTGTCTTGTGGCAAACCAAGCTCATTCACAATTCCAGGCCAAACTTTCCCTTTCATTACGCCCGCCTGGAAAGCTTTGCCATTTCTCTACTTGTTTGAACTCTTCCCATTAATCAAGGGCTAGTTAGCTTGTCTTTCCTCTACTCAACCTTTCTCAACCACTCTCATGGATGTCGATTTTCTCAGAAATGCTATAGCATCTGCCTCTTACCTGAGGATTTGGTAATACACTATCTTACCAGTTGCCATATGTGAGTGTTTTGGCTGTTTAATTAAACTGGAAACTTGTATAGGGTGAGGATCACATCCTATAAAAAATTCTTAGCACCGTCCTCTGCACTTAGACTATCACATCCTTTCGGTCATTTGATAAAATTTTAATAGCTTTCTTCTTAAGCTAACCAGGTAAGAAATTATCATTTTTTCTTTAATGTTTAAGCCCTTATACCAGCAATTGTGAGGATGGCACAGGACCGAACAGTGGCTCATTCTGTTGTTTGTAGGGTCGCTATGAGTTGGAACTTACTCGATGGCACCTAACAACAACAGCAGCGTGTAGAATTAATAATAGAATCACAAAAGAAAATTATATTCTAAATTTCAAAATGCTTAGGGAAAATTGACTCCTCCACAAAGAAGTTTACTCATCCTTTCAGTCTTTGTGGATCCTCTTGGTCAGTCATTTTAACAGTGAACTTTTTATGCTATGTACTATGAACTTTTCTACCTATTTATCATTGATATTTCTCACCTTTTCAGTCCTTAGGATATAGACATAATTGGAGACTGTTCTTTGTCACTGGTTCTCAGGGTAGTCTCTGGATATAACTGCATCATAATTACCTAGAGTGTGTATTAAAGTGCAGAATCTCAACGTGCTTTTCGCTGAACTGTTTACTATTCTCCATACATATTTCACTTTACTCATTTTGTTCTTTTGCCATACTGCTCTCCATTCTGTCATCACCTTTGAAATCCTTCCTTTTATTTCAAGCTGTCTGATAATTAGTTACAGAGAGAGGAGTTTAGTGTGGTGGTTAGGAATATATTCTCTGGGTACACATACTGCCTAAACTGGAATCTTGGCTCTGTCACTTTTCTGAGATTACAGAGCTAGTTGCTTAAAAATATTGCTGTGTCTCAGTGTCCCTGTATAAAAAGTGGGGATGATAATTTGTCTCATAGGACTATTATGTGTATTAAATGAGTTAATACTAGTAAATGCCTTAGGTAGTGCTTGTACAAAGAAAACACATAATAATCATTAGCTGCCGCTGTGATTTCTTCCACTTTTCAGTTCTTACAAATAAAACTTTTGTACTATAGTAACTTGTAGTATTTTGTTAACTCTTCCTATTAGATTGTAAGTTCCTTGAAGGTAGGGCCTGCCTTATTAATTTTTATAGTTTTCAGTGGATTTTCGCATAATATAATGTATTTACTATATTAAATTATAATAAAATGGCAAAATTGCCAGTAATATTTTTTCCAGAGCCCATGTACTGAATTTAAATTATCAAGTAGTTTAATACTCTCTCTCTGTTGTATTTCAGGAATTCTAGTGATTGACCAGCACCATTTTACCAGTGGAATGAGTTCTCAGAAATGGGCATAGTGCCTTTAGAGCCAACATGTAACAGGTGGATGCTACTCCATGCTGATTACTTCTTGAAGCCAACACCTTTTTGATTGTGTAGGTCTTTGTCTCTTCGTCTTTGAATGTCAGTTACTATTGTTGGCACATAAAATAAAAGGAGTTCATGTAGTTCTTGCCCAAGCTTGAGTCACCATGAGTAGTTTAGGAAAAGAAAAGGACTGTAAAGAGAAAGATCCCAAAGTACCATCAGCTAAAGAAAGAGAAAAGGAGGCAAAAGCCTCTGGAGGTTTTGGGAAAGAGAGCAAAGAAAAAGAACCTAAGACCAAAGGGAAAGATGCCAAAGATGGAAAGAAGGACTCCAGTGCTGCCCAACCAGGGGTGGCTTTTTCAGTTGACAATACGATCAAACGGCCAAATCCAGCACCTGGGACTCGAAAAAAATCCAGCAATGCAGAGGTGATAAAAGAGCTCAACAAATGCCGGGAAGAGAATTCAACACGTTTGGACTTATCCAAGAGGTCTATACATATATTACCATCATCAATCAAAGAGTTGACTCAATTAACAGAACTTTATTTATACAGTAACAAATTGCAGTCTCTCCCAGCAGAGGTGGGCTGTCTAGTAAATCTCATGACACTGGCTCTAAGTGAAAATTCACTAACCAGTTTGCCTGACTCTCTTGATAACTTGAAGAAGCTGCGGATGCTTGATTTACGGCATAACAAACTGAGAGAGATTCCTTCAGTGGTGTACAGATTAGATTCTCTCACCACTCTTTACCTTCGTTTTAATCGTATAACTACTGTGGAAAAGGACATCAAAAACCTGTCAAAACTCATTATGCTTAGCATTCGAGAGAACAAAATCAAACAACTACCTGCTGAAATTGGTAAGAGGCCTTGGATTACTATTATTATTTGTAATATTTGTTATGGGAAACAATTTTGTTGAGTGCTTTTCCAGTATCAGAAAATATCTGACGTTTACCTATAAACAGCTTGTTGCTAAATTTCATCTTCTTTATGGCTTACTTTAATTATTCAGTTTTTAGCAATATTAATAATATCTGGCTTGAAATTATTTTATAGACTTAAGAAAGTGAGTTAGAAAATAGACATAATTAGACTTTTTCCACACAAACCTAGTCTGCCTTAATTTTTATTGTTGAAAAAGTGAATTTGAAGAAGAAAAATTATTTGCATAATTTTTAAGTTAGCTATTTTTAAAGTGTTTACATATATAATTATACTAGATGCATTAAGGTTACATGTTCCCGTTTTCTGACTTAACCTCACCTGAAAAATAATTCTTTTAATTTCAAATCACTTTCTACCTAATTTCAGCATGAAGGGTTGGCATATCAGAGCCATATGAAAAAGCAACGTCATAAGAAAAGAGAAATTATTTATTTCATTTTGAAAGTAGTTACATGTTCATCAAAAACAATCCAAGAATACAGAAAGGTAGAAGAAAAGTCATCTGTAGTAAATGCAACACTGTTGACATTTTTTAATCCAGTATTGTATAAGCTAACTGTACGGAAACAAAGGAAATGTTTTTAAAAGGATAGTAGTAGGAGAAAAAAATAGGGGAATATGTATGCGTAAACAAGTCAGTAAAAAGAAATAGTTGTCCTGATATTTTTAATTAATGGGAAAAAAATCAGAAACATTTGAAATATGGTAAATAAATCATTGGCCTATCAGTTTTGAGAAAGTGATAAAGTTTTATGTGTATCCTTCTAATAATTTTTTTTTAAATTGACAAAAGTCGATTATGAAACTTGTAAGTTTTCTTCTTGTATGAAAGACAATTTTATTTTATTCTGAATAAAACAAAGACGAATTAAATGTATTGTTGCTTTCAGCACTGGTCTTACACTGGATAGCAAAGGAAACTTGGTGTTTTTAGGCTCTGCAGCTTTGCAGGGTTATAATATCTGTGGGTTTTTTTTTTTTTTTAAGCATTGGAAAAGATGCAATTTAAATAAATTTTTTAAGTGTGGTGTTCTACTACATTTAATCCTGACAAGACACTTAAAATCTTAATTTAATTCAATGTGTTTAAAAAATATATGCTAGATTTTGTTAAGTAATGTATTGTGTATACGAAATATGACTCATTCGTATTAAAATATTTCCAGGTGTTTCCTGGTGGATATGTTCCATTCCATATCTTTAGATAGTAATGAGGTTGTTGAATAGCTTTTGATAACAGTATCACATTTAGTCCAAAATTGACCTACATCTATGGTTCATTGTAGAATAGAATTATAGGCTGTTTGAGAAAGAAATACTGAATTTCTGTATGGAAATACAAAATGTTATTTCTTGTTTTTGTTGTTGTTTTGTGTATGTGTGATACTTTATTAGAAAAGTTTGCTTTAATTCACCTAAGAGTCTCTCTTTAAGGACTTTTTTCCAATAGAGATGTTACCAACTTGCATGGGAATTAGGAACATGCGTGTCTTTTTTTAAAATTGTAGTAAAAATGTATATAACAAAACACTTGCCATTTTAACATTTTTTACATGTACAATTCAGCGGCATTATGTTCATTATGTTGTGCAACCATCACCACTATCAATTAAGAATAAGAAAAATAAGTTTTTGTTTTACCTTCATTTATTCCCTCTCTAATGCTCTTCCTTTCTTTATGTAGATTCAATTTTCTGACCTATATAATTTTCCTTCTCTTTGAAGAATTTTTAACATATCTTACAATCAGATCTATTGGATACATATTTCCTCAATTTTTGTTGGTGAGAAAGTCATTATTTCTCCTTCACTTTTGAAGGATAATTTTGCTGGATACAGTATTCTAGGTTGGTAGTGGTTTTTTCTTTCAACATTTTAAACATTTTGCTCCACTTCATTCTTGCTTGCAAGGAGCCTTGGTGGCACAGTGATTACAGTGCTCAGCTGCTAATCAAAAGGTCAACAGTTCGAGCCCGCTCGGGAGAAAGATGTGGCAATCAGCTTCCATAAAGATTACAGCCTTGAAAACCCTATGGGGCAGTTCTGCTCTGTCCTACAGGGTTGCTATGAGTCATAATCGACTCAGCAGCAGTGGGGGTTATTCTTGCTTGCATGGTTTCTAAGGAAAAGTCTGATGTGATTCTTATCCTTGTTCCTCTACAGGCAAAGTGTGTTTTTCATTATGGTGTCTTTCAAGGTTTTCTTTTTGTCTTTGATATTCTGAAGTTTGAATATAATATGCCTAAGTATAGTTTTTTTTTTTGTATTGATCTTGCTTGGTGTTCTTTGAGCTTTTTGAATCTGTGATTTGGTATCTGTCATTAATTATGGAAATTTCTCAGCCATTATTACTTCAATTTTTTTTGTGTTGTTGTTGTTGTTCCTTTTTGCCTTATTCTCTCTCATATTTCCATTGTGTGTATTTTACACCTTTTGTAATTGTCTCACAGCTATTGGATATTCTGTTCCATTTTTTCATTCTTTTCCACCATTCATTCCCATTTTTCACTTTAGAAGTTTATATTGGCATATCTTCAAGCTGACTGATTCTTTCTTCATCCATGCCCAGTTTGCTTATGAGCCTGTTCAAGTTATTTTTCATTTCTGTTAGTTGTGTTTTTTTTTTTTTTTTTAATTTCTAGCACTTCATTTTGATTTTTTTTTAGAGTTTCTGTCTCTGCTTGTAGTATCCATTTGTTTTTGCATGTTGTCCACTTTTTCTGCTATGGCTCTTAGCATATTAATCATAGTTATTTTAAATATTGGTCTGATAATTTCAAAATCTCTGCCATATCCAACTGCTTCTGATGCTTTTGTCTCTTCAGACTGTTTTTTGTCTTTTAGCATCCCTTTAGAAACCATGCAAGCAAGAATAGAGTGGAATATAATATTTAAAATGTTGAAAGAAAAAGTACCCCATCCTGGAATACTGGATCTAAGAAGAGTTGTTGATTTTCAGTTTGTTCAATGTTTTCCTTGTGAGGACGGGAGTGATGACCTCCAAGTGCTTGCCATGTTGAAACTGAAAGCCGGCTATTAAGTTTTATAGATGTTGTTTACCAAGTTAATTCCCCTATATTCCTAATTTGGTGAGAGCTTTTACAGAAATGGGTTTTGGATTTTATGGAATGCTTTTTCTACATCAAGTTACATAAGTATGTGATTTTACTTTTTTAGCGTGTTGATATGGTAGAGAACATTGATTAATTTTCAAATGTTGAACCAACCTTGAATATTCTGGAATAAATCTCACTCGGTCAGAGTGTATAGTTCTTTTTAAATTTTCATACATTGTTGGATTCAATTTTCTAGTATTTTATTGAGGATTTTTGTGTTGTAAGTGCATAAGAGGTATTGGTCTTGATTTTGTTGATTATGTCACCTTGGTGTGGTTTAACATGTTCCTCAGTCCTCTATACTTCTGTAAATTGGTAATTATAGCTACAGGTTTGATTAGCATCAGGTTTGATTTTAGCAAAACCACTTCATGTTCTTTCATGAGGAGGCACAGAATGTCGGGCTAACGTGTGTGTGTACATGTGTGTGAGTGTATGATGTTAGCAACCGTTGTTCACCTACTTTCTGGTTACCCAGTGGTACAAGTTGAATAGAGATGGCAGAGTAAATGTTTGATTCTTTCCCTTTAATTAATGGTTTTGAAAATAAATTAATTAGTTCCATAGCATCCATTAGTGGTGACAGTTATATATTTTTAAAAAGTATTATGTAATTATGAATTCATAGATGCAAATATATTTGATTGTTTCAGTACATTGCAATCACTGTCCTTATTAATACTTAAATTATTCCATGTTTGGCTAGTGGGAGTTCCTCCAAGTTGTTTCCAGAGTCTCTTCCACTACCTGTCTGTCAGTTGGTCGTATTGTGGTGGCTTATGTGTTGCTGTGATGCTGGAAGCTGTGCCACTGGTATTTCAAGTACCAGCAGGGTCAGCCATGGTGGGCAGGTTTCAGTGGAGCTTTCAAACTCAGACCAGGAAGAAAGATCTGGTGATATATTTCCAAAAATTATCCAGTGAAAACCTTATGGATTACAACAGAACATTGTCTAACTTCTTGCTTTGGACACATCATCAGCAGGGATCAATCGCTAGAGGAGGGCGTCATAATTTGGTAGTAGAGAGCCAGTGAGGTCATGGGAGACCCTTGGTAAGATGGATTGGCACAATACCCACAATGATGGATTTGAATATGCTGGTGTTGTGAGGATGGAACAGGAGCGGGCAATGTTTCTTTCTGTTGTAGGTCCCCATGACTCAGAGTCACCTCAATGGCACCTGACAACAATAACAGTAATTTTAATAGCAAGGAAGCTAGCTGGTATGACAGGATATCCTAGATTTATCTTTTACATTTTCTTACTGATACCAGGAATTATTCATTTCTTCAAGGAAGCTTCTTCCTTTTTGTGGGAAATATTTCAAGACCACCATTTGGCCACTATGGGTACTTCTAGCTACTGGAATAGTGGTTGTTTCTAGGACTTTTCAGTGGCTAGAACTAGGAAATATGTTTTTATTTAATTTTCGTTTGTTTTTCAAGATAAAGTATATTATGAACTTCTATTGATACTTCCAATTCAGTTTCAAGAGTAAAGGCAAAGTTTTTAACTTCTGTCTTATGACTGTATCTTCTCTTTTCCACACAGAGGATTCTGGTTCTCAAAAGCACTTGCAGTGATAGAATTATAACCAAATGAAAACCAAACCCATTTCCACTGAGTTGATTTTGACTCATAGCAACTCTGTAGGACAGAGTAGAATTGCCACATAGGGTTTCCAAGCCTGTAATCTTTATGGAAGCAGACTGCCCATGGGGCGGCTGATGGGTTCAAACCACCAACCATTTAGTTAGCAGCTGAGTGCTTAACCACCATGCCACCAGGGCTCATT